CAATTCTCTGTGTCTTCTGGGGCCAGTCATTGTTATCGCAAAACTCATCTTGCAAGATTTGTGATAATTGTCCCTCAGGACTCCACACTCGTGGATCGCTTTCAGAACACAGATGAGTGCTTTAAATCAACTAAGAATTCCTCGATGCGTTAAACTCAATATCCATCAACCAATCGTGGAAGTGCACGGATTTTGTGATGTCAGTCAGCGCGCGTTCGGAACTTGCATATACCTTCGCACCAAGCTCGGCCTCAACGACTATCACTCCAAGTTACTATACTCAAAGTCGCACCGCTCAAGACCGTTTCGTTACCGCGATTAGAATTATTGGCTGTCTTACTATTAGCGCGCTTAATCAACAAGATTAGAGAGTCCTTGGAACTCTCGCTATGCCCGACTTATCTTCGGACTCGATGATCGCATTAAACTAAATAATCTCTTTCTCGCGGCGATAGTCAGTTTTTGTAACAAATAGAGTGGATGAAATTCAGCGCCTAACAGAAATCAAACACTGGCGTCATGCTGCATTCTCCGCCGACAATCCTGCCGATATATTGTTGCGAAGGCTAAATTCCTACGATTTGATCCATGCTGAGAGGTGGCGGAATGCCTCGAATTTCTAAAATGTGATGAGAACTGTCCGTTTAGTGTCTTCGCGCGCTTAGACAATGATTCTCCCGAACAAAGGAAAATCCGCATAGCCGCTTCCATTTTCCATCCTTGCATCGTCGACGACTTACTAAATAATTCCAATTTAAATAAAATATTCCGCATCATAGCGTATTGTTTGAGACTATCCAAGGCACAACGGGTGAACGCGGTGTCTGATTTCGTTTCCCGCTGAAATATCCGCCGCTTTGAATTGTATTTGCAGAATCTAACAGTGCAACAGCGAGTTCTATCGCGAATATCAAGTGCTAATTAAGAGTGAAATTGTAAAGAGCTTCTAGTAATATTTTATTGCTATCTCCTTTTTTAGATGAAAGCGGACTAATGCGAGTTGACGGGAGGTTGAAAAATTCGAATCTCGCATGCCATCCAATTCTCTTGCAACGCAAACACACATTAACTCAGCGTATTATAGAGCGTGAATATACACGAAACTTACACGCAGGTTTGCAAACCACGATGGCTTTCGAGTGTCAGCGTTTTTGGCTGCTATCATTGCGATCCACCGTGCATGGAATAATACAAAAATGTATAACTTATTTTAGGGCTAAACCTAGTCAATCAGAAGTCTTAATGGCCTTATTGACAGCCGAGTTAACGTCTCTAGACCTTTCTGTTACTGCGATGTAGACTATGCCGAGCCACTCTTGTTACATGAAGGAAAGCGTCGAAACGCGCGGAGTCACAAGTCGTACATTTCGCTTTTTGTGTGCTTCGCCACGAAGGCGGTCCATCTAGAATTAGTAAGTGATCTTACGTCCGAAGCCTTATTGCCTCTTTTAAGCGATTTATTTCGCGTAAAGGTAGACCCGCGCATATACTTAGATAACGGGACCACCTTCATGGGCGCTCATAGACAAATTCAAGAATTATACGACATATATAATGATCAACAAGTTCAATCCGAGATTAGGATAGATTAAGGATATTCTACGCGAGTTAGAAATTTCATGGAGCTTTATTCCGCCTAATCTCATTTTAGAGGTTTGGGAGGGTTGTGGGAGGCAGCCATAAAATCTGCTAAATATCACATGACTCGAATCGTGGGCAAGGCTCATTTAACTTTTGAGGAAATGCATACGACTTTCTGTGAAATAGAAGCGATTTTCAATTCATGCCCCCTCTTACCGTTAAGCGCCGACTCTAATGACCTAGCATATCTAAGCTCGGGATACTTCTTGATTGGCACTTTGAATGGTCTTCCTGAGCGACGAAAATAGACTGCTGCAATGGCAACGTGTAGAGCAAACCCGGCAGTATTTTTGGCAGGTGGAGTAATAAGTATCTTCACTCTCTACAAGCACGAAACCAAATGGATGGCTAATAAAGGAACTCAATTGTCAACTAATCAACTCGTGCTCATAAAGCAGTAGAACCTAGCCCCAAGCTTCAATGAGCAATGGGACGGGTCCAGGAGGAGTCATGCCGGTCCCGACGACATCGCATGCATCGCAACTGTGAAGACTGCTAAGGGTTCCTATGTGAGGCCATTGTCTAAGCTATCAGTACTACCAATTGAAGCCTAGTTCATACTTTACTAATCATTTAGGTTTAAGTGTCTTCAATTGTTACTCTTTAATTTTCATATCTCGCGCAAGCTTCCCTTTATCTTCGGATAAGAATGATTTGTTATATTGTTTTTCAATTGGCATTCTTAGATGTTAATCCTCATTGTTTTTCAGGGTAATGACTAGATGCGATATTGAGTCACATCAAAGTAATTCACATTTTATGTTACGCTAATGAGTTTGTGCTTGTATGTCATATTGGAAATTAGCCTCTTTCAAGACGGGCGTGTTTAATATCCATGTCGTTTACGACTTCTAGTCGCCCGATAAAGAATCGATCAATCCGCAAGATGTCGATCGTTAAGCGACGCATGCGTCGCACGTAATCGATTAGCAACACTCAGATCATCATAGCCGCTCTAACTATCTCGTCGATAACACGCGTCTCGCCTCGTGCTAAAGATCACACTACCGTACCGTTGAGATCCTTTCCGTATTTACTGTAAAACACATTCGCCCGCATTTGTTCAAATAAAATTTTGGAAAGCAGAAATAATCTCATTTTTTTCGACCAAGTGCCCTCGAAGCAATACTACGAGAAATGTTTGGACGGATCGCATGACTGTGCTACCACAAATCCAGAACGCAACAAGATCGCCAACACAAATTTTGTCTTAGTTTCTATTTTTCTTTTTGTTTTATTTGATTTTGGAGTGCTGCACTTTGATAAAACATTTTTATATACAAAATAATGAAAAAATATTTTATAATAGGCTCTTTGTTGCTTTAAAGCTATTCATTAAAAATAAATGATGTGATTATTTAGTATAATAATCGATCGATTTTCTTGTGCATTAATTTATTTTTACAAAATAGTTTTTAACTTTGAAATAGAATAATTTACAAAAAAACAATAATCTTTTTTATAACACTCTAGATTCGCATTAATTTTTAAATATTTTATTACATTTATTAGCAAAACTTACCTTTTCAAGAAATGCAAGAAAAATCATAAGTGTTCCTGAACACGATAATGTATACATCAAGAATGCGTTAAAAATTAACATGTAATCATATTTTGCAGTATACGAATGCTTCAAAATATAAATACCAAATAGATGTTAACAACGTTTTATCATCTCAAATCTTTATTATTTAATAATTGCAAAATAAAACAATCCACAGTAGCTCCAAGTAATTATTTCGTTTTCGCCACCTTTTTCTATTGACGATGCTGATAATGTATATATTCTGCGGGCGATCTATCAATTGTTTCTTTCTTTTTATTTCTTGTTTTGCATCATGCGGTAAACATCTTGTAACTTCTCAATCTCATTTTCAAGTTTTTTTCTTCATTATAGCATTTTAGGAAAATATAATGTTGACGAAAATTTGAATTCGAGTCTATCAGATGACGAGCTGAGCCACTGTGAATTGTTAACATATATTGCTTTGAAATGAATACATCTGTTACACGAAAACATATATGAAATTGTGATTTTACTTCCATAACAAGTGTGACGAAAATATGTTGTAAGTCACGATATTAAAATGTATAATTTATACATACGATTTCAATTATTATATAGAAATATATGTCGCCTAATATATTCATTAATAACTTCTTATTTATTTAAAAAATATTTTTTTAAATACAAAAAGCAGAAATTGTGAGATGTCTAACATTCTGATCTCACACATTATGCGCGAGATCTCACACACACACACACACACACACACACACACACACACACACACACACACGTGCGCGCGCGATTTCAACCACTTGACGTGTATCACTGACTACGTTTACACTGGACATTTATATAATAGATGACACCGCGTCCACCCCAAAATGTGATACTATAATGGACAAGATGTTTTGTCTAGGTAACACATCATTGATATGTTCTCACAGTTCTTTCTATCAAAGTCAGAAGCGTCGATAATGATATTTATCTAGGAAGAACCATGAGATCAGTGACACGTCGCAATACGTTAAGAGAGAGGCACTGATAACGATTTATTTTTTTAAGAAGAGTCGGTGACACGTTCTCACTACTACGATCCAATAGGGATGATAGATAAAGGGACAAAGAAGTCACAAATGGAATATATAATAGATCAAGCGCGCGGCATCTCAGTTGACGCCTTTAAAGACCGAATCGATAAGTATAATGCGAAAAGTATGGTTGACCATCGTGCGGACATTGAAGACATGGATGGTGTGAATGCAGACAAGTTATTTGAAGCAATGGAAAAAGAATTTGGTAACATAATAGACGATGTAGAAATCGAGAATATCAGAAACGTTGAGGACATGATAGAATTCGAAAACGCTAATATTAGAGACGAATGTTCGAGAAGTGTTCGAAGTGCTTGATAAAATGGAAATAGAGAATATAATGGACCAAGAGTTATCTGATGAAGAAATGCTATCCGATAGTGGATGTGCTAGTGATATGAGAGAGTATGAAATCGATCGTGTAGAAAAATTCGTATCGGCTCCAGAAATCCGTACGTTGAATGCTCGTACTAAGCATTGTGTAATCCACAATTATTATACAACGTGGTGGTGCTTTAATTATATGCATAGCATGCATGATTCGTATAGCTGACATTAATGATGTAGGAGTATATCTTGTCAGGGAGCATGAGACTGGTTCTTTCGGTAGGTTGGATGGCAAGTCATGCATGAATTGCATAGGGCCTTTGTACAGTATATTCCCGTGCAGCATATGCCTACTCTGCACACATTAAAAAAGAAGATACACATTGATTTCGAAGAGAGATTTTGGTACAAAGCTTTCAGTTTAATAAAAGAACAGTGTTATCACTCAATGAATAGTGAAGAAAAGATTCAATATAGTTGCAGGTGTATTAAGATTCCCGCAGATGATAAGAAGTGCGTTGAAGTGATGATAACGGACAAGTTAGTGATACCAGAGATACTATGACCGCGAGGAAAATCCTGCTAAAAAAGTGTTTCGTGACTTGTGTGATAAGTATATGCGTAATCAATTATGCTATCCTTGTAAAGAATGCAATTTAATAGACGAATATAATACCAAGGTAATAAAACAGTATGACATTCTAGATGTAAAGCGATGCTGCAATATGTGTGAACAAGTCACGTGCAAGTGCTCCGTGGAAGAGTGCGACGTGATCTAAAGACATGGAAAACCACGAGCAAGTGAAACGCAAACTTTTGGAGCAGTAAGATCAAGTCGCTACTCTGGTGGAGTGTTTCGCGTGACTGCAACGATGCGATGAATCATCAACTCGAAGAACTTTGTCATGCCAAGCGCCTCGCCGTTGAACACAGACATCCGGGGTGGCGAGGATCGCGCGACTTGCGGGTGCAAAGTCGCAATTGGAATGATGTGTACATTGGTGACGAGTACGCGAGTGGCAATGAACGCTCTTGTCTGGCGAGAGATCGCGTTCGAGAATCGTATATTGACAGGTGCGGTAATAAACTCTAATCACATCGAGTCGCGGCGGTTTTTAGAAGACGCTGGAAATGTAGCTCTAGAGCGAACGTAAGACGCTGTAAAAAGACACGATAGTGTAAAAATGAACACCACGTTCAATGGCGAGTTCGCGACGAAGGATAAACGTGCTAATAAGAGCATAATTACAAAGAATAGCGAAATACCGACATGCACGTATGGTACGAGTGACACGTCGTCGAGCCTATCCTAGAAGAGTTCTAGGAACGTGACAGCGGATGGACGTTATCGCGAATCCTATCGAATTTGATTGTTAACGTGAACAAATTAAATCCTCTGCGCGCGGGATGTCACATCGAAATACTGCGGGATATAGTGATGAAACGAGCGATGATCAGTGTTCGTACAATGGACAGTGCGTGTTTCGTGTGATCAGTGGTCGCCGTTTTGTATCCGGCTGAAAAATGTACGGAGCGAGAGTCATCCCCGCATTACACTGCAGTGTTGAATCTCACGAATATTGAATTTTCAATGACATTAAAAGTCAGACAGGTCCTTACTTTATGGCTCATTGATGACAAGAAGGAGAAGCACGTCAATCTCCTGATTCACGCAACAATAGCATTAGACACTTTGGAGAACCTGTCGCATCTAGTGAGTTCGCAACTCACCAGAAAGAAGCACAAGAAGTTTTTCTGCGACCGGTAAGTATAATAAGAAAAGCCAAGAAAAAGAAATAGCGACAAAAAAAATTTCTTTCTTTATAGGTGTCTCCATTACTTCAATTCGTGCGAAAAATTGCAGTCACACGAACTGCCAGACGATCAACGACTGTGCCATCCGATGATCGAGCGAGGATGACAGATGGGTCGAATTTGGCAACTCTAGCAATCGGGAACGAGTGCCGTTCATCGTCTATGCCGATCAGATCTACGTAGACAGAATCCGACAAGGAAAACGCGTCGTTGTACGCGTATCAGCGGCGTGAAGCGTTCAGCATAAGTTACGTACGATGCACGTACGACGACACATTATCGTCGTACTACTTCCGTCGCGATGAAGATTGTATAGTGTGATTCGCGGAACGATTTGGCGTATCGCGTGAAAAATATCGTATCCGCCAATGTGCCCATGGAAACATTATCTAAACAGCAATGGGAGGCGTATCATAGCACGACGCGTTGTCTGCGAGAAACCATTCGCGCCGGACGATACGTGATCATTATCATCTCACCAGTAGATACTGCGGTCCAGCGCATTCAAATTGTAACTTAAATTATTATATAAAAATTCGTTCTACATTCCGGTCGTATTTCACAATTTATTGGACTATGATACACATTTTATAATTAAGGAAATTGCTACCGCGTACGATGGACAGGTAGATGTATTATCGATAACGAAAGAAAAATATATTTCATTCACTAAACATATCGATAGCACCGAAGACAAAAATGAAAAGAATTTAAAAAAAAATGGTGTAAAATTAAAATTCATTGATTTTTTCAAATTTCTAAATGCAAGCCTCGATAAATTGGCGTCGTATCTCGACAAAGATAAATTAAAAATTGTATGTTCCGAATTTTGCAAGCTCAGCGCGGAGGATTTCGATTTTCTCACACGAAAAAGTGTCTTTCCGTACGAATACATTGATTGCGTCGAAAAATTGCAGGACATGCATTTACCACCGCGCGAATTATTTTTCATTTCGTTGACAGTCGATACCGTATCCAAGAGCGATTACACTCACGCCGTGAATGCATGGCAGCGATTCTCCATCCGAACGCTCGGCGAGTACAGTGATTTATACTTGAAAACGTATATCTTGTTATTAGTCGATATTTTTGAAAATTTTCGCAATAGTTGCGTCGCGAGTTACTGTCTCGATCCCGCGCATTATTATATATTGCCAGGTTTCACGTGGGACGTCATGCTGAAACATACGCGTGTAGATTCGAGTTGCTCATCGACATTGATATGATCATGTTCATCGAGCGCGGTATCAGTCAATATTCCGACAGATATGTGCAGGTTAATAATAAGTACATGCGTTCGTTCGATCCATCGAAATCATCCATCGTCGTACTTGATGTACTACAATGTGAATAATCTGTATGGATGGGCGATGTCAATCTTTGTCATACGCCGAATTTCGATGGATCGAAGATGCTGCGAACTTTGACGTGAGCGCGATCGCTCCGGATTCATCCACCACATTATATTCTCAAGGTCGATCTCGAATATCCGCAGCATCTACACGACTAACACACACTGACCGACACTTAACTTTCTGTCCAACGCGCGATAAACCGGCAAGCGCGAAGATAAACTTCTAACGATATTGTACGATAAGCAACGTTACGTCATTCACTATCGCAATCTGCAGCAATGTACTCGTCACGGTCTTCGTGTAACAAAGATCCACCGGGTGCTACAATTCGCTCAATCTCCATAACTCCGCGATTACATCTCAATACACAATTTAGAACGCGTGCAAAAAACGATTTCGAAAAAAATTTGTATAAACTAATGAACAACGTGGTATTTAGTACGACCATGGAGAATGTGCAATCACATGATGTAAAATTAATAACAAAATGGGACAGACGGTACGGCACGGAGGCAATGATCGCGAAACCGAATTTTCACAGCCGCAGTGTCTTTGCAGAAAATTTGATCGTCATCGAAATGCGCAAACTCGAGGTTCGACAAGCCGATTTACGTGACTATGTGCATACTCGACATATCGAAAGTCTGCTTGTACGAATTTCATCACGAGTACATGTCACCGATGTATCACGACAAATGCAAGACCATGTACACCGGACAGTCTCATTTACCATATAGAATATGACGATGTTTATAAGAATGAAACGCGATATCGCTAGACACGAGCGATTATCCGGCAGACAACATGTACGGTATGCCTCTCGCGAACAAAAAGTACCCGGCTTGATGAAGAACGAAAATAATAATGTGATAATGATCGAATTCGTTGGACTGAGAGCGAAGATGTACGCGGTGAGAGTGGATGGCAAAAAGGCGAAAGGTATAAAGAATAATGTTGTAGCGCGAACGATAACGTTCGATGATTATACGCAACAGTATTTGAACGAAGAGATCGAAATGACTCACCATGTATACGATCTAAATTACACGAAGTTTACACGATATCCGAATTGAAAATCGCTCTGACGATGATATGATCCATACGATGATAAACGATACGTCGTACCGGACTCAACGGAGATATTACCTTAGGGGCATTGGTGGATACCTTTGTAATATATGTTACTATTATGTATTACTAATTGTAATAGCATTTATTATGTATTACGATTATTGTACTTTCATATAATACATATCGTATGTTTTTAACATTTACATAAATATTATATACTACAATACTACTATTTCAATTTACATTTTATGTATCCCATATTTTTTTATCATTTATGCGTATTACTATTATGTATTACTATTATTTTAATTTATACTTTATGTATGTTTTTACATTTATACAAGTATTATTACTATTTTTGCATTATTACCTATGTATGTATTCTGCTCTATACATAAGATGTTACAAATAATTATGTACTCCAAAGGGAAGATAATAGGAAGTAATAAAAAATATACGTTTATATAATGATATATATTTTTTATGTGTAGAAAAAAATACACGAATCAAAATTTTATCGAATAACATTGTTTGTATGTATCCATGAATTGTGCAATCCATCGAATCCCAGCCACTTGACGTACACCTTATCTCTTTTTCGGCGCAGTACTTTCTCCACAAGATACACGTCCGGATGAATAGCGCGATGTAACTCGTGCTCGTAAAACGCTCCAGCGACGGATTTTCCGTGATAGTCCTCGAGTAGATAGCTTACGGGATTGGAACGCTGCATCTTAACGATTGTAAACACCTCGGTAGTCCAATATGGCGTGTAATCCTTCTCAAAAGCCTTGTACTTGCTCATGCGTCCGAATCGCCCACTTTAAATTTTGCCGGACTAGTGATCTTTATCGCTTTGTACACCGTGTTCAAGAATCTTTCGGCGACCGCAGGAGTTATGTCGGCGAATCGCATGCCGATAGTTCAATGCTTGCGCGCTTGCGATTGTAATCTGACACGAGACAGTTCGTCGATCCACTTATAATTGCCGTTGAATGTAAATTATATATATAATACATTTTCCACATTTTGTCGTTTTTGAGCGTGCGATTGAACTACTCGACTACTGACGCTTTTAACGTCGAATACGTGGAATAATGATTAACATCGTATTCTTTCAAGATTTTCTACACATCGGCGTTGTAAAATTCCTTCCTCTTATCCGTTTGTAAATTTTTCGGACTTCTTCCACTCGCTTGAATTATCATCAGCCGTCTCGTTTCCATCCTTGCTCTTGAGCGGTACGGTTCACGCGTACATACTCAGCACATCGATGACGGTGAGTATGTAATGATAGCCTCTGTTGAAGTTCGAGTACGTACGCATCTCGACGATATCTGCTGCCTGCCACAGATCGTATCCTTGAACTATGACGCGCTTTCGCGGAAAGTTTCTTCTCGCCGGAGCAATTCCTCGACGAATCGATGTCTCTCGGAGCTACTTTCTTTTTGCTGAATCGCTTTTTCATGATTCAACGCGCAAACACAGAGCAAAAATATTTTTTTCTCGCTGACACTCGACTAACTCGTTTCATCTATACGCGATTTAATTTATAATAAGAACGGCTTCGCAAAGTTCCTCGATGATCAACAGCATCTCGTTGTCGTTAGCGTTGTTGCTCGCTTGGTGCGAAGCGTCAAGCAATCGTAGATAATCCACCAGCTCGTTGGGATCGTCCCAATGCACGTAATCGATGGCATTGTTGTTCAATATCATTGAATGAAGTAATCCCTTTCAGGATTTCTTCTTCTGTTTCTTGGATGTGATCGACATCAACGCGATTACGTATTTGTATCCCCTATTGCTCAATAATTGGCCTTGCGATTGATGCTTGTGTTTGTGCGCGTTCGTCGCCAGCAGCATGCTCTTTTACTTGTTCATATCGTTTTCCGTGTAGAGAAGATCGTCGGGAATTCTCTTGAAAATTAACTCGTAAAGACCAGGTGTATCAGCGTATTGCACACCATCGATAATTATGTTGTCCGTATCATCCACGTCGAAACGTTTATTGCCAAACATCAATCCATCCTTGTGTAGGTAAACGCCGTACACATAATCTATACCGTTCTTCTGTTTATCTCGCGTTCCCCTCAGGACAGCCCCGACGTACTTTTGACCCAGCGGGCCCAAGCCGGCTTGCAACGTCTCTCGATCTTCCGACGTTTGCAACCGATTTTGAACCTTCGTTGCTAGCGAATCGTCTGTCCTTCCGAAAACGTCCTTCAACGATTCTATCGTATGATCGTCGTACGAAGTGGAGATTATTGGCTGTACACGATCATGCGATCGATCATCGGATTTACGCGGGGTCGCGGAACGCACGACTCGCTCGCTTTCTCTCCCTCCTCTTTCTTCTTGATTCTACCGTTTCTTCAAAGCACGATGTTTCTTGCGGATTGATTCGCTCGCCTTTTCGATATTCCTCGCAATTTTTTTACACTCGCACACATCAGCCATGTTCGTCTCTGGCGAAGTATCGACAACGACTAGTCACGTTACAGTTTCGCGAACTTGTTAAATCCCTATCTCTCGTCCTTAAGCGCACTGTCCTTGTCTATCACTAAAAATCCATATTTTTTTGCCAATAATCACGACACAACAAACAAAATTCATCGTACGACATGTCGGTGATCGTTGTAAACGTGTTTCAAGTACAATCCTGTTTAAACAGGATCAGCAAAATCATGTTGTCGCGTATCAGATGTTTAGGTATCCTCGCGTACGTCTGACAGAGATAGAAGCAGTCAACGTTCGCGTGGCGGCCCATCGAGAAGTATTCTCTCACCCCATCCTGCTTGTCGCATGCTACGTCATCAAAGATAAAAATAGAGTTTGGGCGCGCCTCGCTTGGTGGAACGACATCGCTGTTGTTGGAGAACGTAAAATATCCGATTTAATCGATAGACGTAAATAGATTTTCGAAATATCGATACTTTGGCTGTTGCAGCGATTTCGAGTAGACGTACACATTCGAGTAGGCGTACACATTCTCGAAACGTACGCCGTTTGGACTCTCGAGCAAACTTATGAGAACATTGGTTTTACCACTATATTCGACGGACCGCAAATGATCGCGCATATAGTACTCGGCAGCATTTCGCCGTTCTTGCGCTTTTCCGCGCTGCCTCCCATCATTCGCGATTTCGCATCACAGTTTGACGTGTATCGTTAGCGGTTGCAGCACGAATTTCATGCTCACACTAAAGGCTGTGCGTTCTCGAATTAAACTATTTAAAGGCTCGCGAATCCGCGAATCGCACAGTAGCAAAATGTATCTCGCGCTGTGTCATCCTTTCGATATTCGAGACTAGAGCGGCTGCAATATATAGCAAAGGTCGTACTCTCACGGCGACTACATCGAAACTCTATTCAGACTACGTCTGGGACAAGCTTCCGAAACACTAAGATTCGGAGGTTCGAACCTATCGAACCTGCGACAAGCACTACAATTAACCATGGCAGCGGACGCACATCGACTGTCTCGCATCGAAGATAAAGGACTGTAGCGAATGTCAGCTCTTCGCGCGGTCTGTTGAATCGAATGATAGACACGCTTCCTTTCGAGTTACATATTTCAGGTTATCAGTTTTGCGGCCCGGGCACTTGGCTTAGGAAGCAACTAGCATGAGGACATAAATCCGTTGAACGCGGCGTGCCGAGGACGACATTGCGTATTCTTGGAGCAATGATCTCACCGATAGACACGCAGCGGATAACGTACTCACTGATAAAACATTAGGACGCGTCGTCGCGAGAGATTCGGCTCTGAGCAAGAGAGCCGCCGCAGCTGCCGTCTGGGCAGCGATGATGAAAATCAAGACCAAGATCGGCATGGGTATGAAACCGAAGAAGAAGATGACAAAAAAAAAGGCAATGGAAAAGCGGATTCCAACAATGAAACGAGGCATTATCGTTTCTTGGGCGCGCTCAGGTCTTTGAGCGGATAGCACAGCGAAAGCGGTAAACGACAACAAAGCTGCGCAACGTCAGTTCGAAGAATTGCAACATCACGATCGCACGATGTAACAGAATCGCGGACTGTGTCTCGGCCCGTACAAACATGGACAGGATGTAGCTGCAAAAAAGAAAAAAACGCCAAAAAGATAATGCCATCTGACGCAACTATCAATATGCAATTGAACGTATTCGCGAGACGTATGTATCATACTTTAGAGTATGTATTTAAAGTATGTATCATACTTTAGAGGCGTTTTCATGCGTAACACGTTATCGACGAGTGGCGCACACCAAAACGAAAGCGGTATCGTGAATCTGGACGATGCGATGGGACTGGTACTCACTGACATAGCGTACGCGAAGAAGAACAACCGCGTTGTATCGTCTCTGTGTTAGAGTCAGGGCCATTCACACAAAGAAGAAGTTTGTCCTTTGTCCGCGCGCGAGATATGAGTGATTTTTTTCCCAATGTGCAAAAATATTCTACCATTAATACTAAATGGTAGAATACTTTTCTGTGATTAAGTGTAGTGATAATATTTTTTTACATTGTTATTACCTAAAACAAATATGGGATAAAATGGGGACAAATATGTGATAAAAAAATAAAAAAAGTTGAGGAGACTGCCTCTTCCTTCTCCTCCTCCTCCTCCTCTTCCTCAGTCCAGAAGGAAAGTGATACAGTTATTATAGATATTATAGATATTATAGATATTACTCAGTTACACGTGAATCAATTACATTTATTCCATCGCATCATCGAAATTGTCGATGATGTGGATGACCTTACATGAGTGCGTGTAAATAAAATTGAATTCAAGCATCTCATCGGCAATCTCGATGATGTGATGGAGGAAGAAGAAGTGGAAGAAAAAGTAAAAGAGGAGAACGCTCTGACAATCGGGCTGGAAGAAGAGGAAGAGGAGGAGGAGAAAAAGAAGCAATAACAATTGATTTGGAGGCTGTGGAGAAGGTAAAAATATTTTATTATATATATATATATATATATTTTCTTTTTTTCTTTAAAAATTTATTCGCGTATAGTGCCGCGACGCATTTTTGGAGTGGACGCGGCGGCGGTGATCCCTAATGATACATGATGTCACAACATGATGACATCACGTATCATTCTAAACATCGATAGCGCCGGGGACTTCCCGAATCTTCCCTCTCCTTCTCTGCGCCTTCCCCCCCACGTCTACGAATATCCTCCGCGCTACGAGTACCCCCCGCGCTACGAGTACCCTCTGCGCCCCACGCCTTCCTCTAGCCGCTTAGGTTAGAATCGGCCTAGTATACCTACTACGATAGGTTCTGGATCGGTCTTCACGTGTTCCGAAAGCTTGTCCCATCCATCACACGGTCGATATAGTTACCATACACGCGTAAGAGTACGACCTTCGGTATTTATTGCAATCGATCAGCGCTCAAGTCCTGAATGTCGAAAGGATGACACAGTGCGAGATATATTTTGTATACTGCGGAATTCGCATGCCTTTAAATAGATGTTTGAAAATGTATAATCTATAGTGCGAACATGAGATTTGTGCAGTAACTGACGATACACGTCACGAACTGCGATGTGCGATGTGAATTCATAAATAATTGAAGGCTGTGCGGAGAAGCGCAAGCACGGCCAAATGCTGCAGAGTACCATACGCGCAATCATTTGCAGCTCATCGAATTGCGGTAAAACTAACGTTCTCTAAGCTCGAGAGCCCGAACGATGTACGTTTCGAGATTGAGTATGTCTACTCGAAATCACTGCAACAGCCAAAGTTCGAAATCTTGAAAATTTGTTTATTTATATCGATGAAATCGGTTATTTTACTTTCTTCAACAACAGCGATTGTCGTCATTCCGGGTGGTCATATTCTATTTTTATCTTTGATGTCGTACGTCAAGTAGAATGAACTGAGAGAATATTTCTCGATAGATCACGCGAACGTCGACTGTTTTTATTTCTGTCAAAGATATCGAAATCTGGAGACACTGATAATGTCTCGGCGCTAAGCTACGCGCAGCGACACTGCCGTGGCTTCTTTACGCGAATCGGCGAGTTGCGCCAGATTGAGATTATCGGATCTCAAAAAGAGCTGAACCGATCAAGTGTGCTCAATCGATTGCGACCGAGATATATAATGAAAATGTTTTTATTTTTTTTACGTGCTCTACGAACGAAGATATTATGACGCAAAATACGAATCTGAAACTTTGATATTAAGAAACGTTGTCGTCATCGTCGTCGTCATCGTCGTCATCATCGTTGTCATCGTTATGGAGTGGGAAAAATGTTCTTTTGGAATTTTTGGCGTAAGAGGCAAATATGGTCACATGTCTGTTTTCCGTGGCTAATGATGAACTAGTGTTTGGAAGCGAGATAGTTTAGATTAGAAAATCCGTCACATCGATGGCATAGAGGAACACGTAAGTAACGCTAAAATAAGTATTTTCTGCTTCTGCAATTATCTAAATTCTCTGTCGTAAAACACATTTTCTGCTTGAAGAATACAAATTATTTTCTATATCATTTTTGTTTTTACAGCAGAGAATTTATCCTGGTTAGATATATTTGTTTACTTTAAAAATACAAATTATTTTCTATAAAACACAAATTCTCTGCTTTAAAAACAAATGTTTTACTGTAAAAACAAAAATTATACAATATAGAAAATATTATAAATAGCATTTTTAGTTAGAGGCGAAGGCAAATACAACTGTCAGTAATACGATTCTGCTCTTGTTGCGAATAAAGATGCACGTGTGAAATTAAACACAGATTATTATGAGAATCATCGTAGTTATATTATGACTTCGGTAAGATCGGAAGGTAAGATATTTTCAGATTCTCTTATACTTTTTCTATAGATGTATTCAAATATATTAATTTCTTTTTCCGTGTGCAAAGATGTTCCTATGATCGAGCAAGGTTTACGCATTCGTAAAATATGTATCACAGAAGACTTAGATCAACCAGAGTGATGATTATTGATGAAGATTGTAAGGTACTATACGAAAATCTCTTGGTCTGCAAAATCCAATTAATTACAATACGAGATAAATTGTAAATTGTAAAATAAAAGAATTATAATGCGGGGTCTACAATATAGAAATCGTATCAGTCGTAGAGTCTTATTTTTCTATGACTCTACGACGATCACTACGATTTCTATTGTATTGAATATATATTTATGTATACGATAGAAATTATCTATGCTATAATAGGTTTTCAGGAATTATGGAAGAACATGAAGGACGTGATGACAAATATTTTAGATGTACAAGTTCTCACAATATTCTCGGATAAAACGATTTTGATAGGTCACAGTATTGATTCAAAGCTTTAAAGTTGCTATACGATACTGTCGTGGATGCTAGTGTTATGTTTCTGCATAGAAATGGATATCCGCAAAAAAGAGCATTGAAAAAGTAATTCTATAATATTTAATTTTATAGATAGCGTAGATACGACTTGGACTAGGAGCAGTTTTAAAAAAGAGATTACACTTGTTACTATTCTCATTGGCGTTCAGTGATACGATCACAACAAGTAGCAATTTAGATTAAGTTGTAGACTAATCAGTTGAGAACGATATGCGGCTATGCAATTTTCAAAAATGCGGATTCAAGAGAAATTGGGGACTATCTTAGGACTTACAATACTATACTCAACTCCTTTCTGATTGGTCTATGATATTACTCAGTAAATTAGATTGCCTATCTGCCTATGAGCAGGCGTTACTGGTAATGCAGAATATGATTAGATCGCAAATCCGGCGAGGAATGAGACAAGAGAAATTGAATTTTATTCTGATATAATGTAAAATTTAATATAATATTAATGACATTTAATACATATTATTTAAAAATATGTAACTATAAATATTTGTAATTATATTTTTTAAATATCATTGATGTTAAATATATTTTATATCTTGTTATTGAACTTCATATTAGTATGTAAAATTCAATTTACCTTGTCTCATTCCTCGTTGGACTTGTCATTTAATCTTATTCTGCATTACTAATAAAGCATGCTTCTGCCCATGGGCAGACAGGCAATCTGATTTATTGATATGTAGGTTGCGGAAGCATCCTGTACACTCATTGACCTCGACTAAGAATTTCTTTTTAAATCATGATTGTTGTATGCTAATTACAACTTACTCGTTTATCGCTTTCGTAATATTATCGAGAAGATACTGTTAAATATAATTTGAGCAAATTACTTTGGATTTATGATATAATATTTGTTGGCGATCTTGCGGCGTTCACGTTGGATTTGTAATGACGTGGCCACTGTCCAAGCGTTTCCCGCAGTATGATTGCTTCGAGGGCACTTGATCGAGAAAAATGAGATTTTCTCTACTTTCCAAATTTTTATTGAATAGACCTCAAACGCGGGCGAACGTGTTTTACAATGGAAAGGATCTTAGCGATAGCGCGGTAATACCTTTCCACGAGATGAGATGCGTGCAGTCGACGAAAGAGTTAGAGCGGCCATAATAATGATCTGAGTGTTTTTTTTTTTATCGATTACAAGTGACGCATGTCGCTTGCAATCGCACGTAGCTTAACAATTGACATTTCGTGGATTGATTGATTCTTTATCGATGTGATTAGATGATATGACTAGACGCCGTAAACGATACCGAACAATATTCGTGCAAAATTAATTTGTTATTTGGTTGGTCGAACAGCAAAATGCAGTTTGAATATTATTGCATCATAAATGTGTGTACATTTATCTAATGAGCTAATTATTCAAATGTCACTAACATTTCAGATTAATCTTTAATTGTATCTTGTCGCAGGCTAGTATTGTTGTGCATACTTTAGTGCTTACATACTGTATATTTTTATATACTGTATTATATTTTTTTGTGTATAAATATGTGTAATATACAGTGTGCTTCCGCAATCTACACATCAGTAAGTCGGGTTGCCTATGGGTAGGAGTAATCATTCTCCGCTGTACTTGTCATCTAATCTTATTCTGCATTACTAGTAAAGCATATCTCTGCCCATGAGCAGATAGGCAATCCGATTTACTGATGTGTATGTTGCAGGAAACATCCTGTACACTCATTGACCTCAACTTCAGGATTTCTTTTTAAATTACCACGATTGTTGTATGCTAGTTACTACTTATAATTTTAAGAATAATTTTAAAGATAAGATACTTAAGATAATTAATAAGATAATTAATTAGATAATTAATTATTATAATTAGATAAGATAATTAGATAAGACTTAATAAGATTTAAAAAAAATTTTTTTTGTTCAAGATAATGAAATTAAGTTGACATTAATTAATATTAAAGAATTACAGTTTTCTGGAATATTACATGCATATTACTGACACATTGCAGGCATTGTTAATTTACATTTCTGTAATATCTCTGCAATGTTACATTGCAATCTGCTATATTGTAACATTGCAGCAATATTGTTTCAATCTTCTGTATGGGCCGCAAAAGTGCCGCAATCATCTACTCAATTTTATTCTCGATTATCTAGATTATAACCAGAAGCAAACTCCATTAATTGTTGAAAGTTGATCAGCAAACTCAACTGTTGCGGAGCGAATTCGTGAGCGCTCACAGCTATTGGTGTATTCTTCTAGTTATCTAGTAGCAGCGAGCGCTATTGGATGACTTACGGATCTGCTCCGCAATAGTTGAATCTGCTGAACGCGACATATACCTGTGAAAAGCGATCTGTCGAATTTCGTTAAATGCCATTGTTCTTTTGGCAACGCTACTATGGGCACATTAGCAGATACAATATCTTTCACGCAATGTGCCAAGTCTTGGAGTTGTCGCGCAAATCACACTATACGGTCTTCATCATGACGGAATGATGATAACACGTCATCGTATGAGAACATAATATCCTCATGCTGTTGACATGCGTCTTCCTTATTGGGTTCTATCTTATGTAGAACGCACTCCAGCTCGGCATAGACAATGAACGTTACTCGTTCCTTATTGAAGTAGTTCCCAAACTCGAGCCACTTGTCGTCCTCGCTCAGCAATCGGATAGCGCAGTCGTTCATTTTGCCACAATCCACTACGTGTGACTGTAATTTTTCATTCGTACTTAAGTAATGAAAATATCTGAAAAACAGATATTATTATACTATTATTATTATTTCAAGAAAATTGTAATTTTTTTATTATACTTACCGATCACAGAAAAATTTCTTCTACTTGTCCCTAGTAATATGTGATCTCGACACGAAACAGGACAGATTCTTGATCCACATAAAGTGGGCGATACCAACGTTGAGTGGATCTTACAGATACATAAATTTCATATTAACTACCTTCTTCAGCATAATTTCTCGCGGCACTTCGATGTGGCATCCTGCATACAAGGAATTTAATTTGTTCACGTTAACAATCAAATTCACGACAATGCCCATCCGCTGTTGCGTTCCTGGAATTCTTTAAATGACGCTGTGGGCTTGATGACGCGCTGCTCGTCCATTCACGCAAATCTCAATATATTTCACTGTTTTTTGTGTTTATTCTCTTGATGGCACGTTTATCGTTTGCCGCAAACTCATCATTGAACACGGTATTTATTTTCACACTACTGTCTTTCTACGTCATCTTGTACTCGCTTGAGCACTACATTGCCCGCATCTTCCAAAAAGCCCGATATAGTCCGCGTTGATTATCGCACCAGTCAGAATACGACTCGAATGCAGCGTCAATCTCTCGCCAGATGGGTGATCTTTCGTTGCCACTCACATACTCGCCACCAATGTGCACGAATTGTCGCTTTTGCATCCGCGAGTCGCGCGATCGCACTCGCCATCGCGGATTGTCTATGTCCAACGAGGCGCGGACGCTTGGCACGGCAAAGTTCTTCGTGCCCTTCAATGCATTCGTCGCATCGTTGCAGCCACGCGAAACACTCCACTAGAGTAGCGATCTGGCCGCTTTGCTCCAACAGTTTGCGTTATTTACTCGCGTGATTTTCTATGTTTTTGTGATTTTTCATGTTGCACTCGTGCACGTTGCACTTAATTAATTTTCAATGTGTGCAGAGTGGGCACATGCTGCATAGGATTTAGTTTGCATGGGAATACAATGTACATCGATTCTCCGCATTCCGAACATGACCGCCTGTCTAGTGTATAGAAAAACTTCGTCTTTGTGCTTCCTGATGAGATACATTCCTTTAATGCCAATGTCCGACAATCAATCATATATGCTATATCAAATATAAGGCTGAAGATATGGTATCATCATCCGTTGTATAATAACAGCTGATTTTGCAGTGCTTAGTACGCCAGTTCGACGCACGAATTTCCGAAGGCACAAATTTCGCTTCGATCTGTACTGTCATCGCTTAAACCAATAAGATATTCAGTATTGTTGGATTGTACTTCTTCGTTGGACGATTCTTGGTCCACTATATTCTCAAATTCTACTTCCATTGCTTCAAAACAACTTGTCTACATTTACTTTCGTTCATGTCCTCGATGTTCGCACGATGATTAGCCATACTTTTTCACGTTACTCTTATTGCGACTAATTCGGTAATCTTCCAAGGCATCAACTGAGGTACCGCACACTTATGGTCCATTATATATTTCCTTTGTGATTTCTTTGTCCCTTTCTTCAACTCTATTGAGATCGCAGTATCAATGGCATTTGTTACCGATCTTTGCCTAGAAAAAATATCGTTATCGATGCTTTTTTATCACGTCGCTACATGTCACTGATCTTGTGTTTTTCCCAGAACAAATTCGCGAGCGATTTCGTTTTCGTATGCACATTTGCAACACTTTGTTTAGCAGCTAAAACGAGAACTCTATACGCGATAACAATATATACAAGTATCAGCTCATCGATTGCGAGTTATTAACTTTAATTTTTAATACATATGAAAAACAATAATGTGAATAAAAATTTTTTTCATTCACATCACTATATATTGTATATGTACTGTTTTTGCTCCCTATCCATCCATCTATCCATCTTATCTTATGCCTCGATGCGCCGTCGCATTTAGTTTATATAAACACCTGCCAGCGTTTCTTTTAACGTATCTAGAGTTCTACAGTCAGCCAATATTTATAATCTAAAGTGTTTAATATACAACGACCGCTCATAATTAATATCCCGAGCAGCTTCGCCACAGCGAAGGATGATTCTCAGGCAGTTTTTTCAAGCCTTGTGCGAAATTCATTTTTTTTTAGGATTTTTTATGAAAAACGTGCAAGAGTATCCACCATAGTATATACCATTTATCTATAATGGTGGAATATTTTTGCACATGTACATAAATAAGTAAAAGTAATTTTTATAATGCAGTTATTATCTGTAAATAATGAATGATAAACAACAAAAAAGGTAAAGTTGTGGCGACTGCTTTCTCCTCCTCAGATCCCTTCAACTGAATGATACTTGCAATTGATATCACTCAACTACATGGCGAAATTAAATTATTCCATCGAGAAGAATGAGGAGAAGGTAAGAATTATTTATTATATATTTTGTTTAAAATATTTTGTCCGTGACGCATTTTTGGGGAGGACATAAAGTCCGCAGCGACGGCACGTATCATTAATATTTGATGTTTATGTAAACAGTCAATGTCTTCGATCGGGTCGCACCCGTGACGTCATATCCGCGCCTCCGCGTCCATTGATCTAGAATCCTTACAATATTGCTACTGCTATGAAATACATGTTATTCATTCTCTTTTATTTAGTGTTAATTCCATCGATTGACGGTTAGTTTGACGGCAGTTTTGGATCCCCGTCCCTCTACAAAGAATTGAGCTGGCTGATCCTCGCACAAACCTTCACAAACCTCCTCGCACAGTCCTTCACGTTCGAGAAATAGGTTCTCTCGTGAGGAATTGTTAGTGTCTAAGCGATTTGGTGAATTGATGCAACCTCGAGTGCGTCTGACACTCAACTTCGCATTTGATAATTTGCCCATCTGTGCGAGGACGAAGTTAAAGAGGACGTTTTTTTTATCCGCGCGAGCTCGCACGAAAGGTGTGACAATACATATGTATACATATATACAAATATTAAATAAGTAATTATTAAATATATACATATTTATGTGCATTGATTATGCTAGTTATGAAATGTTTCAAAAACACATTTGTAAAACATTTTTTAAACGAATATGTGCTACCTGGGGAGTGCGTAAGAATGCGTTGAGCTTGATTGAAAAATATTCGGAACGTTTCAGGGTGTATAGAGGTATTCAAAGTGAGATAATAGTGGAAGTGGGATTGAGTAGCAAACTATGAAAAGTATTCGAGATGTTTTTAAGAAGTATTAAGGTATCCAAAATGAAGTGGAAATGGAGATAAGATGAAGGATAGGATGGGGAAAGGTAGAGGGGATATATGTAAGTAAGAGTGTGATAAATTATACCAGGATCTATCAGTGTATCGAGGTCTCTGTAGTAAATGAAGGGTGGTAAGATAAAGGGGGAGGATTTGGATGAATGTGTATACGGTCACCAAAATCCAGACAAATTGAACAATTTCTTTAAACAAAATATTTTTAATGAAAAATTAAATATTACAAAAAATCCTTTTACATGGAGGATCCCTATAGAGCACAATTATTCAATATATCTCCCATTAACTTGAATGACGGTCTCTATTCTTGGTCTGAAGAATTCGCACGCACGCTGTAATGTAGTATGCCGACGAATGCTGCCTGAATAGGTCCTTAACGATGTCATATTGGGATGCCGAGACTTGTTTGTGACCCTTTCAACTACGCTCTATGGAGTATGGAGTTATGTAGTACAAGGGATTTAAATTTGGGAGCTGTTGGGGGGCCAGAATTCCTTGGACCAAAACATATCGACGTTATCTGTTAATAGAAGTTAATTTTGAATCAAATGATTCGTATGAGTCGATGCACCGTCCTGCTGAAAAACATATGGCCTTCCGGACAACAGAGTTTCCATCCACGGCTTCACTACATCCATCAGAACGCACAAATGCATTTCTTTTGTGATAATTTCTCCTTTTTTAAAAAAATGTGGCATGACGTCACCCTCACACAACACGTGAACATTTGCCGGAAATTTCGTTCTGGCAACAGGAACATCCTCGGGATTGTCCGAGGCGAGGCCTCATTCCTCCGGTTGATTTTAGCATCAACAGTAAAATTTCTTTCATTAGAAAAGAACCTGATTCATCTCGATGTTTCGTTCTTCAAAGAACACAATAGCAGCATGCAGCTCGGCTTCCTGGTAGCCTCAGAGAGCATTTGTTGTATCTTCAATGTGTACGAAGATATTTAATGTCTATCAAAGATTCTCCTTGACAATTTGACGCATTGTTGGCTCGCTTACTCCAACTCGATGCTAATTTTCGCAGTGATTGCTCTGGGTCATCCGAAATCAGCGCTTGAGCCCTTTCAACGCGGGATCTTCGCGATGTGTTCTTTCGAGTGATTCTTTCTCGCTGGCATACTAGAACCTTTGTTGAACCGTAAAGCCGTATATTTTGTTACAACGTCATAAACGATATCGGGTATCCAGAAAACCGAATTATTTCCATTGCTGAGCGTTCAGTGCGAAGACTCTTCGACTATACTCACACTTGATTCCAACATCGCTGTCATTTTGAGAATATGACTATTTACTAGAAACATCAGGCTTTCTTGGATACCAACAACAACATCTGGCGGAGGCACAATATAGGAAAATTTAAATTGAAATTTTTCCGGAAAGTTGTAGGGAGAAAAGAAAGATTTTTTATTAAAGAACATAGTGTGAAAACATAGTGTGTTTATGAATAATAATAAATTTTGTCTTTTATTATGTCTGCAGCCGATTTATCATATGAATACCAATATTTGTTGCAAAGGATAAGGGAAACTGCAGAAAATCTTACCAGTATTCTTACAGAAAAAAATATATGTAATAAAAAATAATTACAATTGAATTAATATAATAAATAATACAATAATATAATACAATAAAAATAAAACATATGTACATAATAACGTTAATATACAATACAATATAAACATCTATATGTAACTATAACATGTATAAATACAAATTATATTACATTTTAATTTATATTATAATTTTAAAAACGCGCTTTGAACATAAATAAAAATGTCTGATGTTCCTATGAGCCTTCTAAAAAGAAAAATGTGATTAATATATGGTATGTACATACATGCGCGCGTGTTTATGCATGTATGTATAATGTCTAAAATTAAAAGTCAAAAATTAAAATAAAATAAATAAATAACAATAAAAATAAAATTTCTTACACATAATAGCATTATATCACATTTTATATATTGCATGAATATATGCTGTCACACCAAGTCAATAAAAAAATTACTATATAAAAAGAAATTAATTTAGTAGAAAGTGTAAATATAAATGAAAATATAAATGCATATTAGATTACGAAAAATATTATTAATTACAATTAATCCAAAATAAAATATTAATCTGACAGCAATATATTTTTACAACAAAAAATGAAAAAGTAAAAATATTAAATAAAAAGAGAGAATACCGATGTTCCAACACGAAAAGCAATGGCAAAAACATACGTGACGAAAATCCCAAAAACATTTTAATTCTATGACAATTGTTGTAGTATAATGTACTATGAATTTAAATAAAAAATTAATAAAAATTAATAGAAAAAATAGCTATCCCATTTAACTTTGTCGTTATTTTGGCAATAAAGATTTTGAGTTTTGTGCAGTTCCAAGTGTCTAGAATCAACTTGGAAATTGTAACAATTTAAATTATGGGCCTGAAAACTTGATCGTAATTTACAAATTGAATTTAAACAAGTGACATTAATACAATTTCTCTTTTTATTCTTGATGTCAGAGATAATAGAAAATATTCTTTCTGCTTCGGCATTATTAGAATGTGAAAGTGACAAAGCGGCATAATTCTCTTAAATTCATAAATTCTTTTAAATTTGGAAAAGATGATTCATCATTAAAATCTTTTTTCTCTAAAATATTCTTCCACATTTCATCAATTTCTAAATTAGTCAAAAATGTTTTTTCCGTATCGTTAAATTCTGTTGGCAAACTTCTCCATTCATAAGCTAAGGTCTAAAATGTTTTTGTTTAAATTACTGACGCGGTTGGTTGAATAATAGCATTAGAAAAACAGAATTAGAAAGTAATTGTAGAAGAGATAAATAGTAGTGAAGGGAAGAATTGAGCAGCTCCTACAAGCGCAATTAGCCCGAGGTGTACAGGAAAAAGGAAACTTGAAAGAAATTAATACATGCGTACTTTCTTCTTTTCTTTGTATATATTGCGAATACTGATAGATATTCTACCAGCATTTTGATCTGATTCATCGATCAGAATGATCGATCAAGAAGATTCCAAGCTCGATTTTCACCCCGTTTATGTAGGCGCCAGTCGATGGCGCTCGCGAATCGGGAAGAAGGGGAGCTTCGAATTGATAAGACGTTCCGAATTTAAAAAATGATTTTTCATATAGAAATATTAATCACATCAGGCTGAAATTCGGCACGGTTCAATTTAGAACTGAAGGTTCGGTCAATTAGGTTCGCGCTAATTGATGGAATTTTAAAGTAATTAACAAATTAAAGTTTTGGGCTTTTCTCCGTGCTGCTCCTTCGCCCGATTGATCGGCGTTCGCTAGCGCGACAAATTTACTTATCAGGCTAATTAAGGCGGTCACAATGGCCAAAAGATAGTAAATCATATTAAATATAACTTCAAAATTAACAGTATCTCGGCCAGAGCGGCTGAAATCCCATTGAGGATTCGGAGCGACGAGCGGCGTCGCGGGTCGTGATTGGTATGGGTCGTATGCGATAGCTTATTCTGAGAGATTAGGCGTCAAGGTGTTTCGATCGGATTAATTTTTCTTAAATCTCATGCAGGATGATAATAACATGACAATCCTAACATATGGGAATGATTCCTTAACTCCGCGTGGAGTTATCCTGGAATTCCGTCGCAATACATCGACATACGGTACGCGCATCACGCTTCGATTGTGGGTTCACGCGATGTCGACAAAATTATACTATGTCGAGTAAGTTTCTCGCTATATCTGCAATTAATTAATAAAAATATTTTTAGATAGACGACGTAAGATTAAATAATGGAAAATAATTCAGTGCAAAACGAAAAGATAAAAAAAAGAAAGTGAAATTATATTTCTACGGAGGGCAGGACGTAACACCTATTAAAAATTTCGTTCGCCTAGTCGTCTTTTAAATATGAACATAATGTTCTCAGTCAACTCGACGGAATCGGATAAAGATACACTGTAGTGCCTTCTGCGCCCAATACGCGTGAATATTTAGCGCGAGACACTGCCGTGTTTCTTGAAAAAATTCCCAAAGGCCATGATGAGTTTAGTTTAGCTTTAATTCTTTCTCTGGATTTAATCATGTTTGCGAGTTCGGCCATAATGAGTGATCCGAAATACCTGTATTTATAAAAAAATTGTTTAATCAA